CAACAATTTCAAGTATTTAAGCATTTTAAATTTGGTTTAATTTCTCATTCACCAAACAAAAAAATCTACTTAAACAAGCTCTTAAATTGGTCACAACCAATTTCGAATTTTCCAACATGTACATCATCTCCCTTATATCAACTGCATCCCCTTTGTTTTTTAAAAATTATGGACAGAAAAGTTTTTTTTTTTTTAAATTGTTCAATGGTGAGTTGTCACGTGACACGATCTAAACAATAATTTAAAAAATGATCTACACGTAACATGATTGTATTTTATTTGGTTTCATTCTTGTCTATTTAAGTAAATTTAGATAAGGTTAAAAATATAATATAGCAAAAATTTATAAGTGGATGTTGGATAGATGTATAAGAATGATGGATGAAAATAACGACCCCCTAATTAAATTTTTAATTTAAACTTTCTCTCTCGTCTCGCACATTCTATCGTCGCATACCCATTGCAAATAAGCTATTTATATTTATACAAAAAATGTCACAATATTCTCATTTTTTTTTTAATTTTCACATACACAATTTTATTGGTTAATTTTAACATAAAACTGTAATACTGAATAATTTTTAAACTCAATTAGATACTGAAGCGAGTGATAATACTTCGAATTAGTGTTTGCATAATTCGTGGTTAGGGCCAAGCTTTGAGCTTATATGAGCCTAAGTAGGCCTAGACGAAATACAAATGAAGCTTAGACGTAAAAAGTATAAAGCATAGTTAAGCGATAAGACCACTTAAGCGAAGTTTAGATGAAGTCTGCTTGAGTTTTTTAGAACACTTAAAAAAAAAAAAAAAGCGGCATCGGAAAGGGATAGGAATAGAGTATTAGCTTGGTTGACAACTGACTAGAATTATGAATCACCATGGTTATCGTTGGCAATAGAGTGAGCAGCGCTATAGAGTCCCCAGGATGGACGACGTGAGAGCAAGCCCAAGCGATTAGAGACTTCTGTCTCCACTTTAACGACGTTTTGGAAAGGGAGTGAGATTCAAACATTCTTTACGCATGTACAGCACTGGGAAGTTGTTGGCCAGCACATTTAAGCATACGTCTTCGACAGTCTCTGTTGGAAATGGTTGCTATAATTGAAAAACTAGCTTTTATTATTGACTTTTATTAGACGAATGAGATCCAATAAGGGCTATATTTTCAATTTTAATTGAATTTTAATCTTTACCAAACGAGCACTAAGTCTGCACGGGTGCCTAAACACAACAAGGTACGCAGCAGCTCGATCAATTCTAGGAATGCAGTCTATCGCTAAAGGATACAAAACATATCATCTCTCTTTGTGAAAAAATTAGTTCTAGAGAATCAAATTAAAAAATAAATAACCAAATGAACTTCAAATAAATAATTCTTTTTCTCGTTACAAACATATTTAGGGCATGTTTGAGCGCCATTTTTGTCCAAAAAAATGCATTTTTGAATAGCGTATTGATGAGAAATGTGTGGTTAAAATATAAGAATTTTTTTAAAATTTGTCTGTAAAATTATTTTATTGAAATATGCGTGATTGAAATGTGATTTAACGCTCTCTTTGGTATATATTTTTTCAAAATACATTCTTTTAAAATTCATTTTTCAATAAAATAATATTTTTCATTACATCAATAACTTTTTCTTACTTTTTAACCACATATTTCCTATCATATCATTATTTAAAATACACTATTTCCTATATAATATCCATCAAACACACCCTTAAATACTGTTCGAAAATGCTTTTTTTTTTTTCCATAAAAATGAGATTCAAACCAGGCTTAAAACAACAATTGACTCACAAAGATCTGTACCTACTACCAACCCACCACTGCTTTGATTCATAAATTTCTTCTATCCTAATCCAACATTTACCGACTCACAAAGATCTGTGCCTACTACCAACCCACCACTGCTTTGATTCATAAATTTCTTCTTTGCTATGTGGCAGGAACTGTACCTTCAAATTCGAATCGAAGTCACTAGAGTCAAACCAAACAATCTTCTTACAACGAATTCTTGATTTTAAATTCGTCCATAGACAATACAAACACAATCTAACGAGAATACCTTTTTTTCTTACCTTGAATTGTGAGTTTAAATCAATTTACTAAAATACCTTGGGATATAAAGTTAAAGATACGTGTAAAATGGGTCTGGTCATGTTGCATGAGTGAAAAAAAGGTCACAACCCCTCTTAAAAATATAACTATCGGTCTAGGTTCAGGAAGGAAATCATGTTATTTGTCTTTGACCCGAGGCAAGCGGTTTTGTTCCACTTTGTCCTGATAACCTGATTAACCGAGGATTTGGGAACTTGGCATTACTACTTGTACATAATTTGGTGTACATCAATGTATCCACCCCCTCACATGGGGGTGGGGCCACTTGGAAAAAATATTTTTTATTTAAGTGGGTCTCGCTCTCATGTGAGAGGGTGAATACCTTGATGTATATCAAATTATGTACAAGTAGATAAAATCCGAAAACTGATCTTGCCCAACTTAAATAAAAAATCCAAGTCCACTTGCCCAACATAAAAATCAACCATGCTATGCCGCCACCAAAAAAGCTATTTGTACAAAAAGAGTTTGACAAAAATGTTGACAAACCCTCACATGATTGTCACGTCTTAGCTGAATTCTTGAAGAATAAAGCTATTTGTACAAAAAGAATTTGACAAAAATGTTGACAAACACTCACATGATTGCCGGCCCCACATGAATAAAAAATTGAAAATAAAAAGTGGGCCCCCCCCACATGTGAGTGTTTGTCAACCTTTTTATACAAATTATTTTGTACAAGTAGCAAGGTCCATGCTGCCACACCATCCCTGATAGCCCCTCACAATAGGGTGCAAGAATTTTTTGATCTTTTTTTATTCACATAGGTCCAACAAATGGATGTCAAAATCCCTGACAAATAAATTTAGCCTCCGTTTGGCCACATTAAAATTATATAGTATTGTTGCTTTCTTGAAAATGTTTTTTTTTTTTTAATTTACTAATATATCCTTTTTTTTTTTGCTACTTTCAATAATAATTTACTATTAGTTATTGATAATTAAATAATGGTAAATTATGAAAATTTTTGGCAAAAAATTATTTTGTAATAACAACAAATAAAATTTCTTAATCCGTGTGAAAAATAAAATCAGACTAATATAAATGGGACGAAGAGAGTAAAATATTTTCTCTCTTCTTATTAACTATACATTTTTTAATAAAATAATATTACACGTAAATTCAAAATTATTTTTTTCTTTTTTAACTACAAATTATTTAAAAAAATATTATTCACAAAATTATAAGGCCAAAGATTTCAACGCGCAACCAACCAACCAATCAATTTCTTAAAAAGTTACCGTTAATCATTACCCCAACTTCAAATGGTCTCAACGCACAGTATACACACACACTCCCACGCATTCCCAATTCAAAATTTCAAATTCAAATTGCCGTTGGTACCATAAATTCAACGGCATCAAACACAACATCAAGCATATCAACCAGTAACCCCAAATCCAATATTCAACATTTCATTGAAGAACCCTAAAATTTTCTCTGTATTCAAACCTTAAACCAATCATGTCGGGTTGCAAGAAAATCTCTGTCCCATGCAATTCTTCGTACAATTCTCTCTACCATAATCCCCTTATTGACAAGAAACACAACCGCAGCTCGAGCGAAGGTGGCAATATGAGGCGGTGTTTAGCTTCTATTATTAATGAAGACAAAGAAAACGCATTGCCGAGTGCTATAATAGGCAAAATGTATGGAGATGGAAAAGAAAATGTGGTACCCAATATTGAACACAAGACTCTGGCGAATGGGAAATCTCAGATGAAGGATAGTGTATTTAAGCAATCTTCACTTCAATCGTGTGTACAGAAGAACGTGTCTGATTCGATAATCGGATTGAAATATTGGGAACCCGTTGATTCAGAAAACTCGAATTCTGTCAATATATGGGATTATTCGGATTCGGAAGCTGCCCCTGCTGCCCCTTGGTCAACTTTGCCAAACAGGTTAGTAAGCGCTATACTATCGAAAAGCTCAAGATGTTAGAGAGAAATATATTTAACTTCAGTTTTGTAGTGTGCAGACCATATTTATTTGAATAAAAAACTTGAGAGTACTGAGTACCTATTTATGAATTTAATATTACAAGGTTTTAGCAGAAAATGATTGAATTATACATGAAGAAATTAATTTGTTCATACCGCTTTTCTTCAGGTCTTTGCTGTATAGGCCTTTGCCAGTGGATGTTGGGAGGTGTACTTGTGTCATAGTGAAAGATTTCTCTCCTGAAGGACTTGATGGGGGCGCTCTTTACACTCTTTATACAAATGTAAGCCCTTTTAGAATTTGGGAAATTTATTTATTGCATTTAAATGATTATAAGCATTTTCTGCAAACATGGTAAAATGTGGACTAAACTCTTGATGCCAAATTAAAAAGAGCTCTTTGATCTCTTTCTACAGGAGAGATATATACCCCATCGATCTCATTATATGCCTTCTTTAGAATCTCTCCGAACTGATAACTATATTCTGCATACTGATTCTGCATTATATTGAACTCCTGTGAATTGTTTTTTGTTTTATTTACAAGACATTGTTTATAATTATCTCACCGACGTAATAGGAGGGCCAGGGGCGACAAAACCGTAAACTTGCTGTGGCTCGTCACAGAAGGCACAAAGGAAGATCAGAGTTCAGAATTGCTCAAAATGAAAAGGGAATAATGAATTCATCTGATGACAGTTTAATTGGTTTTGTTACAGCTAATATTTTAGGTTCGAAATACCATGTATGGGATCAGGTACACAACTTGAACACCAATAGTTCCTCTATTGTCGTTCGGTACCCATAAGTAGAAGCAAAAATTTGTATTTAAAAATTTGGCCTTCCATATGTTTCAGGGAAATCGTCGAAATTCCTTGACCAAACACTCTAAATTATTGGCTGCGGTGAAGTAAGCACCTCCCTTCTCGTGCCCCTAGAAGGACTTCATGTTTCTATTCGAAAAGTAAATCAGGTTAATGACTGCTTATTTTCTGCTCTATCCACAGATTCATTCCTACGGTATCCACTTGGACTGGAAATTGCAGGTGTATGAATGCATGGATACCAAAGCACCAATCTATGCAGTTAAAGAATACAAACCAGGTGACATAAACTGATGCCTGGAGGACAATCACAACTTTCCGACGAGGGTAAATTTTTATATTATTACTGAAATTACCTACATTCTTTTTAAAATTTTTCCTTGTAGATACAACATATCAATGGACTGCCCATAGAATGGGAGGGGAAGAAGGACAAGGTACACCAGCTATTTTCAAGGGTTCCTCAATATAATAAGGTAAGTTATATATAGCGAGGATATAGAAAATCATTAGGTTTGATAATCTCACATAGCTTGTAAATGTGAGAGTATGCACAATTTCTTCTTGTTTTACTGGATCTTGTCGCCACAGATTTCGAAGCAGTACGAATTGGATTTCAGAGATAGAGGAAGGGCAGGTCTTAAAATCCAAAGCTCGGTGAAGAATTTCCAATTAACTTTAGAGGTAAATCCTTTTTTTTTTAAACAGAAAAAAACCCTTATGATTGTGACTACATTTGAGATAATTATCGTTGAAGAATTGCTTCAGATTCTCTCAGTTAGCACGTCAGCTTACGGTAAAGTGAAAATCAGGATAGCAGGAGCGGAACGAAACCCCTTATGGGGGATAAATAGTTATTTAAATGGATGGTAAAATCATCAAGGGTGTTTATTGCTGAACTAGAACAATTACCTTTCCAAGGATGTGTATAAATTAGTAAAAGTGGGAATCTACTTGTAGAACATGTAACTAAATTTTCAGACACGATGTTTAGGACATTGAAGTTTGTTTTTTCATTTGGTTTCCCCAGAGGAATGGAAGACAGACAATTCTTCAACTTGGAAGGGTGGGAAAGTCCAAGTATGTGATGGATTACAGGTAAACCTGAACAACCATGATGGTACTATGTTCCTAATTTTCTATTACTTTGGGTTTTCAGTTTTAAAGTTTATTTGCTGCAGATATCCATTGTCTGGTTATCAAGCCTTTTGCATTTGTTTGGCTTCTATTGACTCAAAGCTTTGCTGCACTGTGTAATCACAAGCTCAAGTCCTGTATTGCAGTTCAACCTCTGAACAAAATATTACAGTTCCTCTTCTGGTTCCAGAGCTGCATTTTGACCTCAATCTGTAGGAGGTTTGTTTCAATGGGTCTTCAGCAATCAGGGGGCTCGTACGGGCGACGACTGGGAGTTTTTAAATCATGGTTCCTTTTTCCTCTTTACCCCAGGCTATTTTGCCAAACACAAAAATAGATATTGTCAATTTGTTATTTTCTCTTTACTCATGCAAGCAAATGTAAGTGCATTCGAAAATTGTTGGTTCGAGTAAATTTTACTTGCTTTCTCCCAAGGCAAAAAATATTGTTTTTTGCTGTTTGAAAAGTGTCACGAAGCTCCGACATTTTTGGAGCTGTTTGGTATGGATTAAAATTTTGACAGTCTTAAGTTTAAATTAAAATCAATAATTAATTTTAATCATATATTTTTTGGCACTCAAAACTTTTGAACCGTACATTCCATCAACTTTTATCAAAATCTATTAAAAATCTAAGTTTTATCTATACCAAACCGAGGCAAGACAAGATAAACTTAAAGAAGGGTGACTGTTCAACCCGTTAACCTATTTTAAGTGTATATTGGTCCGGGCCCAATTCCAAGCCCAAGAAAATGATGGGCTTTTAGGTGGTGAAATTCAATCCGGGCGTTTATTGGGAAAATTACACAAATAAGGTGTTTAAAGAGTTGATTTTCAAAAATAAGGTGTAAAATTTATTTATTCAAAACTCAGGTATCTACAAACCCTAAATCATTTTCCTTCAAATTCTCTTCATATCTCCGCCCTTTTTCTCTCTCTCTACCCACCGTCGACCACCGCCCACCGTTAAAGACCATCACCTTTATCAACAATCCATCACCGAACTCACTCAGGCACGGAGAAGCTATAATGAAGAGGAGATCGGAGATCACTGCTTGCGACTCTGCACAGATCGGCGGCGGCGATGGTTCTCCGTACCTAATTGACAGTGGTGGTTGCAGAGGAGATCGAGCGTCCGGTGATTAGGTGTTGCGATGGTGAGATCTGCTTGCGGTAATGGTGGGTTCGACACTCAAGACGCCACCACTGCCTTCTCATCTCTGTCTCGGTGATGGTAGGTTCGGTGGAGTGTGTGCAGTGACGGAGTGAAATTGTGGTGGTGGTTTGGTGGTGTTGGGGAGTTTTTAGGTATTTTTTGTTGGTTGTGCAGGTAGATGGTATTGGTGGCTATGGTGAATCGACGGCGATTTTGGTGAGGTTGTGGGGTTGGTGCATTGTTGGGTGTGTTTGGTGGGGTTGGGGGGGGGGGTTTGGCAATGGTTGTGATCTGGTGGCTGTGGTTGTGTAGGTGGTGGGGATGGTGGTTATGTTGGTGAGGTTGTGGGTTAGGTACTGTTGGTTTTGCAAGTAGAGGTGTTGACGGTGCGGTCGACGATGGTGGTCGTGGCGCGGTGGATTTATGTAGGAAACAGGCGATGGTGGTGGGTTTGTCGGTGGTGATGTTGGTGGCCGTGATGGTAATGGCGGCGACGGGGTGCCAGTGGTTGAAGTGGTAGTGCAAGTGGTATGTGACCAAGTATTTAATCGTGACCTAAAAATTTGACGATATGTGACTGAAAAATAATCTGTGACCAACAAATTTGAAAATATTTGACCAATGAAATTAACCATTTTGTATCTGTGACCTAAAAATTATATAATGTGTGACCGTAAAAAAATTTGTGACCAATTAATTTGGAAATTTGTGATTGTGTGACCTATAAAATTTTTGAACTGTGACTGTAAATTGTAAATTTGTGACCAGAATGGTCACCGAAATAGTTGTCAGAATAATTGTCGGAATCGGAGCAGTTGTCGGAACGTTCACCGGAGAAGAGTGGTGGTCGAAATGGTCTCTGAAATAGTTCCCGGAGCAGTATGGGTGGTGCATGTGAGATGGTTTAATTATATTATATTAGAATCAAATATTATTTTTGAATTTTCAAACTATAAACCGAATTTTTGAATTGGTGTAAAGTATATTAAAGTATATACCTTATTTATGAATTTTTCCCGTGTTTATTTCATGTATCAGATACACGACAAAATTGCTAGTGTCAAAAAAAAATAATCCCAATCTTAGTACTTGACGATGCTCCTATATCCCACCACGTGTCCTTTGAGTCAATCGCAACCGTAACAAATGACAACATGGAGAAGCTTCGAGAATGTGGCCCCACACTTTATCCGACAATGCTCACGTGACTGCCAACAAACACAAACAAAAGTCACCTCAAGTTGGAGTTAAAGATACAAAAAAGAACCCCTATAAATAAAATAATAAAAGTTAATTATTAAAAGAATTCAACTTATTTTTTTTAAATGAAATCATGTTAAAAGTAATAGTTTTCTTGTTCAAAATTAATTATGCAACTAAATTTAAAAAAAATTAAAAATCAATCGCATTATTGCCAAATTTCTAGTTGAACCGAACATGAATTTAATAATAAAATTAAAAATTTATCATTTTAGTACAAATAGGTTCCAAAGCAATAGAAAAGAACGAGTTAATCAACAAATTTTGCATCATAGTTACACAAAGAATTCCTACTAATAACATACATCACCTAGCTCAATTTTTCGGCACCAATCTAAAATAAGAGATAAACTCTAGTTTTATAAATCTAAACACGAAAGGTCTATGCGACATGTTGATAAAGATTTGAACATTTTCTACCGATAAAAAATGATCAAATTCAAAATGAAAAGTTAAAGTATTAACTTATTAATAAAACAAAAAGTTGAGGAGTAATGGTGCAATTTACCTAATATATTTTAATTTTAAAATTTTTATTGCTACGTCAGTCCAATTTTTTTGGCCACGGTGTGAGTGGGCGCTTAGCACGTGCCAGGGAGCATCACAACTCACAATCCAAAAGGGCGTAAATCGACACGTGTGTACCGCCGCCAAATGAAAATAGTAGAAAATAAATTATATTTCTCCGTCATTTCTTCTTTCGTACAGCAATAGCAAACTCTCTCACACAGCAAAAATCGGTCGAAGCAACTAGAAAAAATTCTCCGAGTCGACTCACCCACCGAATTCAGTCTGTGTCTATTAGGGTTAGGGTTTCACTACTATTTGATCTTAAAAAACAGGTGGAGTTGTATTCGGTTTTAATGGTGCATTTAATGAAAGACGGAAACCCGGATTCGCAGAGCGATAAGATGCCGATGGTGAAGATGGAAATGGAGGATCCTTTGGAAGAAGAGCATGGACCATTCTCCAAGCGTCACAAAGTATTTTATTCTCCTAAATTTGCAGCATATATGCTTATATACGTGTCTCTGTATCTTTTGGCATGAATGTGTATTGAAATTAATAAACACGCTAGGGAGTGAAAAATTAAGCATTTTAGGAGTTTGAAGATGACTATTTTATTGAAAGAAAAATTAGAAGCTTCGATCACTGTTCTTGCTATCATACAATTGATGAAATTTCTCCCCTTTTTGGTTTTAGATTTTTGATTCACCTTGATGTGATCTTTACCTGCGTGCAACATATTTTTTCAAGTCATCAACAACTATTGTGAGTTTACAGTTGTATTTGATATTGGTATTGTTTGTGTTTCACTGTTGCAGCAGAGTCTGGGGATTGGAGGTTTTCTGGAGTCAGTTTTGCAATATAACCCACTTGATGAGCCCAGTCCATTGGGTTTGCAACTGAGAAAAAGCCCATCACTTTTAGAGTTGATTCAAGCAAAGCTTTCTCAAGCTAGAGCTTCGAAAGTTGGAAGTCATGGTAAAAAGGAACAGAGAGGTGGTGCTTCTGGTACTACTGATAAGCTGAAGGCATCCAACTTTCCGGCCTCGGTTCTTAGAATTGGGACCTGGGAGGTAGATTCGAATTTCACACCTTTTTAAGAAACACCTGTATAATGGATTTTAGTCATTGAACATTATAGTTTTTTGACTGATATTTACTGGAATTTTTATTGGATTTGCAGTACAAATCGAAATATGAAGGGGACTTGGTGGCAAAATGTTACTTTGCGAAGCATAAGCTGGTGTGGGAAGTTCTTGATGGGGGACTGAAGAATAAGATTGAAATTCAATGGTCTGATATAATGGCTCTCAAGGCAAATTACCCTGATGATGGTCCTGGGTTTATAGATGTTGTGGTAATAACCACTCACTTCATTCAGTCTCATTATGTTGCACTGTATCCGCAGTTAATAATTAATTGACAACAAATTTTGGCATTTTGATGTGCAGTTGGCCAGGCAACCTCTTTTCTTCAGAGAGACTAATCCACAACCTAGAAAGCACACCCTTTGGCAGGCAACGACAGATTTTACTGGTGGACAGGCTAGCATAAATAGGTAAGTCGTCTGTACTGCCTGGGTTGGGAGCGGTTAACCACGCTTAATTTATGTTTTTTAGCCGACATTTCTGTATTTTCCCTTTTTTGTGATCTGGCAGTCATGAATGATTTCACATCTAACTGGTAAAGAATTTTCTTTCTATTTCCTCTGTGTGCTTGTGTATTTTAAACCTTAGATCACTTCTTATATTTGTAATTTTCTCAGTATGCAAGACCAGATGGTAGAGTTAATTGTTTACATGACAAAAGAATGCCTCTATTTGAAGATGGAAACCTTTGTATAACTTTCTTTTGGTGTGTGTGGATCGGGGAATGTATGAAAGATATAACCTTGTGCTAGCTTGAGGAATATTGCTTTATGATATGACATGCAAAATGATGGTGTAATGCCATACAAAAGGTGTAATTAAAGGAGAAGAAATACCATCAGCATGTGTGCTGGTAGTTTATTTGTGGTTCGCGGCAGAAACCCAAATGATTCTTCTCAGGCTGGAAAAGTCTGTGCCGGATGACGCTAGTATAATGTCAAACATTGGAAAGTGATATCAGGGTAGGAAAATGAACATTTTCACACACATTGTACACAATTAGTAGCATGGTGCAAAATGTCTCACTATTCTTCTTAGGCTTAAGTTTCATCACATGGCAAGAAACAAAATTGAAAGTAAAAGAATATTCATTGAAATATTCTACCATTTAGCTAACAGCTGTAGCATATAGTGGGGTAGTTACAGTGTCTCTGGTTTTATTTTTATTTTTTCCTTTAGTTTTTTATTCTAAAGTCTTTACTTGCTGGTTACATGAGGACTCCTGTCATCTGTATAGTTCCAGATTGGAACCTAAAGATCAAAACAGGATTTATTTATTTATTTTGTGCATGTGTATGTGTATGTGTATGTGGAGAAGATATAGTGTGGTGAACTCTGAAGTCGTTGCTCTGGTGATGGGATGATTCCTGCCAATGGTATCAATGCAATGTTGGGATTAGATCAAAAGTTTAGTGCTTTATCTATTTATTTTAGGGTTACAAGTGATTATATGTATATGGTTTGAGGTATGAATGTATATACGTACATGCTGTGGTTGTATGTTTTGGGTTCAGGCTTTTTAGGTGACTTAGTTGTGTCTTTATGCTTGGAGCTCTTATATATACACGTGGGTATTTATTTTTATTTATTTCAGGCGACATTATCTGGAGTGCCCACAAGGCTTGCTTGGAAAGCATTTCGAAAAACTTATTCAATGCGATCCCCGTCTCAACTTTCTGAGTCAGCAAGGAGAGATAACATTGAATTCTCCATATTTTGAAACCAGAGTCTCTGTGTTTGATGATCCAAGTGAAAACAACAGTGGGTTTGATATGAATAGCGGGGAGAGTTCTTCCTTTTCAAACTTACGGGACCCAGCTTCGCCATCTGGAGCTCAATCATCTTCTTCAAAATATGAACATGATGCTTTTGGTAGACATTCAGAATCTTACCCTCGCGAAACACCATCACCAAGCTCGGGTAGAACTGTATTTTGTTGATGAAATGTGTGCTAAACTTAGTGTTTTTGTTTCAGAGAAGTGTGCTTATTTAAAATTTTTTAATGCTTAAAGATGTCTATCTAGTCCAGCATACTCTCTATTCTAATTAATTGTTTGAGAATGGCATGGCTTCTTTTACCTCTTCCTATCCATTTGCAAGAACGGAACCCTTAATCCTGTATATAGATTTCACCCATGATTATTTGTTTTTGGTTCAATTACAATTATTAGTGCATTTATCGAAAACTGGTTTGGAATATCTCGCCTTGATGAAATAAAGAAAAATGAATGAGGGACAAAGCTGAAGTTCACAAAGCTGAAGTTCCTATAGGGGTGTGATCTTATGGGTTTTGACTAACAAGTCGATCATCCTTGTGCTCCTTTTTAATTTACCTAGCATGGAGAATAGCCACAGTCTGAAAATGGAAAGGAAGCGTAAATTAGTTGTACTGTAAATTTTGGTACTAGAGGAATTTCAAACACATCAGTATCTCTAAGGTAACCGAAAATGCATGAATTAACTCTTGATAGAGAATAGTTTTATATGTGCTGGATATATATTAATATTAGGAAGTGTTCAAAATTTCTATAGAAAATTGCAATTCAATTGTGATCTGATAGTGTTTCAAATTGTTAGGATGTTACATCGTGAAATATTTTAATAATTTAGAATTTCCTTGGGGTTTTGACTTCCAAGTAGTATGGGTCATTATGGGGGCAGCCATTTTGATGAGAAGTGACTAGAATCAAGATGTGACACAGGATTGGTAGTATTGACTGTAAATTGTGTTTTGAAGTCGATTGTATCAGGCTGTTGAACACGAGGAAAATTTTTTGCCCTGTTCAACGTGGTCTGAGTCCCCTGTTGAAAACAACGTGACTTTTTTATGGGATTTTCAATCCCCCTTTCCTCGTTCTCTTATTTCAGAGAGGGGGAGTAGGTGATGCAGAGCTCAGCTTGTGATTGTCTACCTTACCTGCGACTAAGTAGGAATACAGATCCTGTGTACTTAGTTCATGCAATGTACTCAGATTACGAAAACTGATGTCACTCTCTAAACTGCCAAGCTAGGAAGTAAAGTTCTTTTTTATATCCAGTTGGGTGGGTGTGTGTGTGTGTGTGTGTGTGTGTGAGGGGAGTATGGGAAAAGACAAGGGCAAGAATATAGAAGACATGTCCCCGAAGCAAAATTCTATGAGAAAGCTTAAGACTCATGTATGCTTGTACACTGAATCTTGTTACAACTTCAGAAGTGGTAGAACACAATGTCTTCCGGAAGATATACAGTTACGTGATGATCAGGGTTTGGGCTTGGACAGCTGGACCTCTACCTATCTTTTGCATTACTGGCACATGCTCATCTGTAACAGGGAGAGTAGTACTAGCTAGATATTTTGCCCTGGGCTTTTCATTTTACAAATTCCAAAACCAGCTGGCGCACCTAAGAGATTCACTTCAATTTAATTTAGTCTAGCCTTTCAATTTAGGACAGGATGTACAAGGAATTAGTGATATGACAAGTTCATCTTGTAGGAGTATGTCAAATTTCTTATTTCAAAATGAATAATTATGTCGTTGCTTTCATGTCTGTAAGTCCCACACTGAGGTGAAAAATTATGTGAGTATAAGAATATATATATTCCTGATTACTCCTTTTCTCCTCTCTACTATCTTCCATCCTAGAGAAGATTTTTCCGATGTTCTCGGTGTTTGTTTGTTTTCACAGCTTCTAGCCATGAAATACTGAAAAATGGACCCATGCATCTTCATTTTTTGCTGATACTTGTTCACCAATTCTCTTCGGGGTTGTAAACTACATTTTACTCAATTATTGCATGGGTTCTACATATGGTGATAGAAAATATTAGTATGTTATGACGAATTACATCATTGCCTTCTGAGTTGCTTACTGTCTTGCCTCGAGAAGTATCGTCAATTGGATTTGTTTGCTATTTATTTGTAGATAGATTCTTGTTCTTTTATCTAATAATATGAAACTCCTTTTACTATTATATGCAGCTAGGGAAATGTCGACCATTGAAGATATTAAAATTGGCGGGATGGAGCAACTAAAGGTTCTCAGCAACTGGGATCGGATCAGGGCACCAGGGCTCCACTCCTCTATGTCAATGAGTGATTTGGTGAGCTATCTTGAGCATCGGATATCCGAGCAGAAAACCTCTAACTATCAAACTCTCTCGAGCGAGGAATGGCAAAGCCTCAAAGTTCTGGACGATATCAAGCAATTCTTGTTCAGTGACAGCGACATCCAACACATGCCTGACACAGATGAGAAGTCTCTCGTGTCAAGGGTCAATTCTCTTTGCTGCCTTCTTCAGAAAGATACTACAGCAGGTCCAAACTCGCAAATTAAAAGCGGAAACTGTCCTGACGTATCTTTGCCAGAAAAGAGAACAGATGACAAGTTTGGTTCATCAACTACTGAAAATGAACCTATTCCCATGGATGAGTCCAATGATACCTCTGGTTACAAGCAGCCGGCATCAATGACTAGGGAGGACTCAGTTGGAGAACTGCTGCTTAATCTCCCTAGGATAGCATCTTTGCCTCAGTTCTTGTTCAACATTCCAGAAGATACTAAGAACCAAGCTAGGTAAGGTCATTCGAGAAGTGAAAAGGCTGAGGTAGAGGTATAAAGCTCCATTGTCCCAGTGACTTTTGTGTATATGCATCCAAGAATAGGTTTTCTTTACTATGGGGATGTGGACTCGTCCGGTGAAGAATGTTGCTACTGAGTATTTGTTTTAATGTAGTAGTCCCCCCTGTGACCATCACCATGTACAAAAATGTAGTGTTTTGCTGCATGCATGTAATAATGTTTTATTGTGGTTTGAAGTTTCTTCAATTTGCTGGTTGCGTTTTGAAAATTTCAAAAATTCCTGATAGGATCATATACCCCATTTTCCTCTTGTGGAGTACAGAATAGACAATGTTAGGTGTTATGACAGTTTCTGGTAAAAATATAGTATATTTTGATCAAACTGGTGGATTCTGTGAAAAAATCTTTGTTGAAATTTTTTAAGTTTTTCAAACAACCACTAATTTCTCTCTCTTACGTTTAATGCTTGTTGGTCCGTTTTCGATAAGAACTCAGAAGGAAAGTTATATTAAAATTCATTGGAAAGTTTTATTAAATTATCTGATAATGGCGGGTTATGCAGGTAGAAACGTAACAATATTAAAATTAAAAAGAATCATGTTACATGTACAACATTGGTTGGCAATATTGATTAACAACATCATATTTGGCATCATCATATTCATTTATTTTAAAAAACTATTTTCTACATCAGATATTAGAATTTTGCCAACACATAATTGTCAATCATCGTTATCAACCAATGTTTTACATTTAGATTTATTTCAATTAAAAATTTACACGCACAAACAACGCGAGGTTGTATTGTGATTAAAATATATAACACCTTTGTCTATTTGTTGACAAAAACGATTCATAAAGTTGTAAAATAGGCTACTTAATTCAACAAAATTATTAGCAAGTCAAACTACTTCTCACATAAGAACAGTAAGTAGACCATAAAAATTTCAAAAAATTGAAATATTCACTGTGTGGATTTCTGTGATGTAATAACAAAATGGAAGAGCACCGTTTCAATTTGCACGGGCAATAGAATGCAGTTGGAGCCAGCTACTGTATTTGAAGTGCCTGTCGGTCTTATGACAAGTTTGAAAGCAGAGGTAATAGTCAAGTTCTGCGTACCAAATATTTCGAGCAATTCAATTCAATTGTATGCTATATGTTCGATAACAAAGATTTTATGTGAAGAAATTATCTTAGTTTTTTAAACTTGTAGAACGAGTTGACTTGATTACTTCTCATGCAGTCATACAACTATGTTATAATCGGTCAAGATATTATGTTGACACAGTGTCTTGTTCTTTTGACGTCATAAAAATGTGAGCTATTTTATTAAAAGAATATGTTAAATCTTGTTCATTGTACTGTTATGAACTTTGGTCATCATTTCATCGTTGACAATTATAAATCTTAATGCTACATCATCAAGAGCAACAAAATTGCATAAGAAAATAGACACATTGTTGGGATTATGGAATGATTTTATGTGTGAATTGGAAAAGTCTCCAATTTGTGCGATCACTAGTCGCAACTCTTCAATTGCAATTGGTGTATATTAAAGAGTTATGTTGTTTTGGAATGGGTGCGACATTTTTGATTAGGTGCAACATACACCATTAAATATGAAATTGTGCGATCTAATGATTAAAATTAATTTTGTCAAAAGATGCGACCAATCGAAAGTACACATGAAAATCTATGAATATGACCCTCATAATTCTATTTTCTTCATTCAAAACCAATTTCATATAATTGATTTCTAATTCTTTTCTCCTGTAAATTTTGCTAAAATAGTTTTCGAATTATTTTTGAGTTTCGTGTTTGATATCTTCTGTTCTAGAAGAGTACAGTCCAACGTCGATTTATTCGATAAAATAATATTGTGCTACATTAATTTTGGAAGAAGTGTTGTATCTTGGGAGACGGACGTCCATTTGAGTTTGTTGACATCTGTGCAGGAGATGAATCCCTCTTAAGGAGATTTGCATTCATATATTTCGCTTCATTTTTGTCTCTTTTGAATTTCTTCATTTTCTACATTTGAGTAAGTCGTGATTTACTCTTTTTTATGCGCATACCATGATTTCTGTGAGTCACATTATTCTATCTGTATTTTGCACACTTGTTTTTGGTCAAAAGAATATAATTTATGCATAAATTATCTCATCCGTCGCTGCAGTAAATCACTATAATGAGAAAAAAAAGTCTTCTAGAGAATAATCACACCTTGTATCTGCTTTAATCTCTCTCTTTTTTATGATAAAATATAAATCTAATTACGGCTCTCTATTTATAAGATAAATTAGGGCAAAATCAAAATTATAAGTTTGAAATTTCTAAACTATCAACCTTCCAACCCTGCGACAACCTTACCTTGAAACTTCGTACAACAACAATGATTAAACTCCGCGACATCAACAATGATTAATAATTTTATATTTTTTAATCATTTCTTAGTGAAGAAGCATTATTCCTTTTAAAACTAGTGACAATATTCGATTCTCTTTTTTCACTTCAATTTCAACGTTATCTAGTCTTCCTCCACTTCAAATGCAAACAACAGAGGAAAGTGAAAAATGTCATCATCCATTTGAATTTGTGCAATCCTTCTCATCCATAAAACGTCATACAAATATTTTAATATTTGTTGGAGCACTAAATACACACTTTACTAGTCAAAAATGAAAAGTATATTCTAAATATTTCCTCTATGATTTAGGGAATTTTCCAATTAATATTTTGGTAACATTTCATTTTCCTTATATTCAAAAATTAATAAATAAACCATTTTCATTAAGAATTGTAGGGACACGCCGCATTAGAAGACATGATAAGGTTGAATTTAATACTTCTTAAGTTCTATCTCTATTAATCTTGTCTCCACAATCATACCAAATTGCAATGAGTAATATATGATTATACTTTTGAACAATTATTTTCCGCATTAATTTAGGGAAATTTGTAATAGATATCTTCGGTAACATTTCATTTTCTTCATATTAAAGAAAATCATCTTCCTTCAAAATTGAGGGGACGTGCGGTACATCGTAATAGACCAGATAAAGACTAATTTAATCCTCTCTAAGTCCTAATGCAGCACATCTTATTAAGAGCGTGTTCAATATAGATTAAAATTAAAAAATTAGCGGTTATTATTGATTTTTATTAGAGGAGTGATACCCAATAACGGCTATATTTTTCATTTTAATTTTAATTGAGTTTTAAGCACGATCGAATATGCTATAAATCGGACGAGGATGAATTTAATCCTCCCCGAGTCATGTCTCTCATAATAGGTGTATCAAACGTGTCCTGAGTGTGTATATTGATTAGTACGGTTGAACAATTAATACATTTACTTTATATTTATTTTATATTCCAATTTTTTCGGCCAGTTTTACCTTTAACTGAAATTTGGACTCTTGACCTATAACTTTTTCGAGTTTGGGTGATTTTTCGATTAATGGAAATTATTCAATATTTAAGTTATTATTCCCTCTAATTCAAAGTAGAAAAATAATACAAAAAAGAGAAAAATAAAATTAATATCAGAAAGCGGGAAATCATTCTAGATCGACACGTGGACCGGAGTTCATGCAGAACAAACCTTCAAACTCATTTGTGTGAAATCTCCTTTTTGTCCAAGTCTGCGTTATTTTCACGCCATCCGTGATCTCCAAGTTCACCGAAATGAATAAAATATCACTAAAATGAAACCATACAACATTCTCCATTGGTCCGTCTCCAAACAAAACCTCACAGTCAGTGAGAATATAAATTTATGCCACGTCACCCGGAGCCCCGCCACCCAAATGGGTTAATCTGTCCCACGTGTCGACCTGCAACAGAACAAATGGGACCCACAACCGAACCCTTTAAAACTCTCAATAGCGTCCTAAGCGCCAAAAAATACATCACCCTCTGTAACGCTCTCTCTCTCTCTCTCTCTCTCTACAGCGCTTTCTCTCTCTCTAAGCACTCACACTCTTGTATCAGCGCTTTGAAATTTCACCGATCAAAAATCAAATTACAGCTCTCGCAGTTTCATCCACTCGTACGAAAACTAAACCCTCGTTAAACCCCCAAAGAAGACCTTGTCGATTTTACACACAGACACACACTAATATTGTATTTGGATTTATTTGTTGATCGATGATGTTATGGTGAATAATTTCTTTCTGATTAAATGTTTAGGATTTTTGTTTAATTTTTTTTTTTCATTTTATGGCAGTTTATTTTGAGCTTTTTTTAATGGGTAATTTTTGGATTGTTGTGATGGAGTAATCAAGGGTTTAGAGCTGTTTTTGAATGGGAATAATTTTTTTTTTTTATTTGTGATCGATGTTCTAATTTATTTTTAAGCTATTGATTATCTGCAAAAATTTGGTTGTGACAGTAGTGATTGTAATTTAAGTGCGGCATTTATGTATCTAGTATTTCTATATCTCTGTTTTTAATAGACCTTTACTAGTTATCATTGTCCTTTCACTGTCTATTAAAGAATATTTTATGTGTATTCATGGCTGTTCCATCAATTAAAGGGTTAAAAATGTTGATAGTTGTTTTTATAAGTTAGAATTCCTTGCCAAACTTAAAGTTTTATTGGCTTATGAAAAAGTGTTGTACATATGTGGAGGAAGATTCTTGTTTTGTCTAGAAAAATGGGCTAACTTAAGGTTATCATCACATGTGGGTTCGTGAATGCGTGAATATATGCAAAGGTGCGTGTATGATTTTGTAAATACAAGTTTGCTTCTTTTTTATATATATATTACCTGAACTAATCAATTGGATCTGGCACATACATTTGCTTTTTCAAACCCTTTGTTTCTAGCTTCCCTTACTCTTACATCTAAACGGTTAGCCCTTTTTAGCTTTATGGAAGAGGGAACCCTTGCTTGGTAAAAACTCAAGTAAAACTGATATCAGTATTAGTTTTGGAAATTCCTTTAAGATGAGTAACCATTTTTATCTTTTTGTCCTTAATTCCATAGCTCATGTTGGTGTTTATCTTGCAATGTAATAGTGAAGTGCTTGGAGTGTTTTCTGATTACTACCTCTGCATGGGTTTCTTTGCTTATGACGCTTTTCTCCCCTTCTCAAGTCAATATGGTTGAAATATTACTTAATACTTTTCGAGAAGAAGAAAAGATTAGAAATTGCAAAATACTCTTTAGCCATTGATTGGAAGTTTTTAATTAGTAGACGCTCCATTTAACATGCTCATATACTGTTGTTATTTGTACACTTAATATCTGTTTTGTAATTGGAATGCTGATATCACTCTTTCTGGATAATCTATTTAGGTCGCGACAATCAATGGGATTTGGCAATCCATCAGCCTTGAGTTCTCCACTAGAAAGACATGGCGATCTTCCAGTCACCAGTAGGCCAAGTGTAGCTTCTGTTACTAGTAAAATAACTTGTGGTGCTACTACTTCTGGAGCTGACCCTATGTCGTTTCAATATACGTCTCTGCCTTATACCCATTCTTCTCTAGATGACATTCAAGGAACTTGTCTGTCTTACCCACATGACCGCAGTAGTGGCAATACTGAAAAAATTATGATGGATTGTTTTGTTAACCCCAATGGCTTATCAAATCACCAGTATAATCCAGATTTGATCAATGTTAGAAGCAATGTCTCTAATCTCCAACAGTTGATTGATGGTAATAATATGAACACCACAAATTGTTACATGAATGGAGGTGTTTTTTCCACAGACTATCAGCACCCGGAGGTTAGAATGAAATTCATGCCAGCGAGAGCCACAGATCATCCAATGACCACACAGGTAGGAGAACCCAAAGCTAGTGGCCTTAGTAGGTCACAGATAAGTGGAACCTTTTCCAATTTAGGAGCTAGCGAATCTATTTCGCAGCATGATGAGAACTTTGTTCAGTTCGGTTCTCCAAGAAAAATTGATGGAAGTTTTCTGACGCTTGGAACTGGAGCTAATCCAGAAACCAGATTCCGCAGAAAATTTAGTACACGGGAGATTGCCAATAAATTGGACGAAGTTGATTTTTCCAATTACAACTGTCATGCTAGACAAACTACAAGAAACCCTCTGATTCGTACAGAATATGCTGGTAGAACGACTAGCTTCCAAAATAGTGCCGGGGGATTGTCAGGTTCATCATGCAATTTGAGTGGCCAGATCTTCACTTGTAATGATGTTGGCATCGATAGAGGGCACTACACCTGGCCAAAGTCACTCCCACTTCACACTTTTCTGTCTGTACAAGCTGATAAAGATCCTAATCATTCTGTAAACAGCGCTAGAGATTCAGATTTTCAAGTTGATATGGCTCCATCCTTGATGCCTTCTGGCAGCACCTTCATTTCCCATCCTGAATGTACTAGGCGGTCTGCAATGGTGTCAGAATCAGCTGTGCCTACCTTGTTTCCGAATCAATTGACACCACACCAGCAACAGAATAGCTATATGGAAAGTTCCACGAGAGTCTCATCAGAATCTTTCATGAATTTCCATCGTCTCCGTAATCAAGGAAGCTCCATCAGGCATGCTAAATTAGGTCAGTCACGCCTAAGCTTGCTTTTCAATTCCACAATCTAATATTGAACTCATTACTTCGCAATTTTTGGGTTCAATGTTGTCTGTGTAGTGTGTACTGACCTTCTCCTGTCTTCGTATATCTATAATGCTGGAGGTTCTTAGCTAAAGATGGGCATGGAAGTAGTTCTTGTCCCTACTTATTTGCTAGTTGAGATACTGGATTTTTTTCACTTTCATCAAACAATTAAGTGCACAATCATGTTGGTCTACTGCACTTTGTAAATGTTCAAATATTACTAATGTATATAAATGATAAGGAATAGATTGGGACAAAGCTTTAAACAATCTGAAGATTTTCGTACCTGCTCTTTAATGAGAAAACAACTCAAGATCAGCAGTGTTTCTGCATCTTTTGTACTGAGTTTGAAATCCACTCTGGGATCAAGTGGTCCAATGTTCCCCAATTTTATACATCTATACCATTTTGGTAATTTCTGCATATTTCCTTGGAACAATTTGGAAATGGAGGCTCTACATGCTATTATTTGGGTAAATTAGGGCTGGGCTTCGCAACCTATTTGAATCTGTAAATTTGGGGGTCCCCACATGAAGAAAATTGTCAATTTAGACGTTAAAATCGTATGCAACTTCAAGTTGAATTGGAGACAAATGCAAGTGGTTTGACAATTTTTCCCTCTAGCTACAAATGATGTGAAAGTCGCGTTCAATTTTTACATTAACATTTATGCTTTCAATCACTTGGGAATCCAGATTGACCATAACCATACCACATGAAAGGATGGAAATCCCAGCCCTAATTTACCCCTATTATTTCACAACAAACTGTGATCCATAGAGTTACTTGTCTCTGTCCAGGAAAAGAGATTCGAGATACCAAAGGGGCATTGAAATGACGTACTGAAATTATCTTATTTTTCTGTGTCTTTGTTGTGTAGAAAGTTAGAGAGTTGGATTATTGTATGTCTCTTATTCACAATTTCAACAAAATGTCTTCTTTTGAACTTTGCAGGAAACTTGGTGCCACTTTCAGAAGGTCACGTTCTTGACAATGGTCCTTTTCCCACAAGGGCTCAACCAGTTGGTAAGGTCTTCTACCTTATTTTATTTGCACGAGTGTTGATCAAGGCCACTATCACTAATAAAATATTAGTCAGTAAGGGATGGAAAACATTTTTATGCCATAAATCAACAAATGCCAACTATGAACTCGTTAATTTCCGTTAGCAAGTAGTTTCTTCTCTGAACTGTCTTGTTTTATTTGCAGGAAATCTGATTGCACTTTCATCAGGAAGGGTGACAGGAGTTGTCAATCCCTCTCCAATTAGTGTTCAACCAATTGGTAAGGCATATAGCTTATTTGGATCTTCCATTTGTGTCGATCAGTATCATTATTGCATTACAAAAGCTGGCTACCAGTGATTTTAACTTCCTTTTCGGTCCGTTGAAAAGGTCTATATAACCAGAGTAATGTGGCGATGGATAGGACGGATTCATGTTGTAGACCCCAAATAAGACTTTGATGTTATAAATAGAGCCACAGTCCCAGTCTTTAAAGGTCTTCTACAAGTAGCTATCCAGTTTTGTTGAGCTGATGAGTAACATTAATATATTTACTACCTCAGGATATAAATACATAACTTGATGCCATTTTTTGTTGGCTACTTTCCTCAGGTCAACTACCTTCTCGTCTTAACGTTTGTTCTGTCCAATCCCGTGGGTATGGTATGATTCCTGACAGAAGTGGGTTCCAACTTTCAGGAAGTAGCACTTTCCAATCTGCTGCAGGGGGTCCATTCCCTAAGAGGCTAGGCGTTCTACCCAATGATTTGGCTGCTGCTCGAGCTGCTGAAGGTGTGTATCCCTCAATTAACAAGAAATTCACATGTGGCAATGGTTTTTTTCCTTGAAAAGGAAGAACATAAATCTATGACCGGGACAAAATATTCTGCGTCCAAAGAATTTAACTGGCATATGCAAGCAGTAACCTCTATTGAAGAGCTATCAGGAACACAAGTTATGGTGTCTCATCCACCTGATTACAAATGTACTATAATGGTGATAAAATGTCGAAGTGCCGGAATTCTCTTGTACATATGAAAAAGCAAGGGCAATAGGCAGAACCCAGGCAAAGAGTATGTTGCCTTTGCTCTGGTTTCAATTTTCACATAGTATTTGGTAATATTTTTCAGGTGACCTGAATCAGATTCAAAATTGTCAACTGCTTCATTATCCTCAAATGCCTGTTGGACATCCAATTGCCATGGGTATTTGCTCTCAACTTGTTGCCCGTGCTATATTTATTGATCTTGGATGTGTTACGAAATCCCGACTTCTCGGTGACTGAGATCACTTTTATTTTTTACCAGTCCCTCCTCAAGGCCCTTTCCCTGATCATGTTAATCCGCGTGGACTCTCAGTAACTGCAGGTACTTACAATGAAAATCTTTACTGATATTAGATAAATTTTGCTTCATATTTCATGACAAGATGATTTTAGTTCGCTTGTAATTAATAATTTCTTTATGTAATCTAGGACAATCTCATTTGCCAACTCAGTTGTCTAAGGAATTTCTTAAGTCTGATTATGCTGAAGGTATTTATTATGCTTCTACTTTGATATGCATTTAATAATTTCTAGGAGCAGCATCCCGTGATTATGGCTAAGTTTTGGTACTTTACAGGTCCTGTTATTCCAGTTGCAAAAGTAGATTTCCAGAGTCAGGCTTCTAATGTTCTTCGTCGGCCATCTCTTAAAAGAAGAGCAACTGAAAATTCTCCAGCTGCTCCATTAGTTCAACGCAGGAAGATAGTTCCTCAACCTGTTAAACATCATTCTGGATCTTACCAACAGAAGTATATTCCACCACCTGTTCCTGCTGCTCCTCTTCATATAAAATGGCAAGGTATCTGAATTATCCCTTTCACTTGCAATCACTTTTTGACATAATTGATCTGGGTAGTTTTGTTATTTTAAAAAATTTGTGTAGTTGCTGTGACTTGGACACTGTCCTCCATAAGCTTATCATGTAATTTTGTTATTTTCAAATTCCAGCCCACTTTATTATGCTTGAGTTGTTTTGCTCCTATCTTGATTGTGGCTTGGTTGCGGTAAAGTTCTTGAGACTATCTTCTTTTTTTTGGTGTAATATGCCCCACTTTTTCTTATACATGTCATTACTCATTAGCGTACTCTAGAAAACCTGTGTGGTCGCAAGTATATTAACTTCCGTGCAGTCAATTTACATAATATTATGTGAGGTTCTAGATACGTGAGCTGATAGTCGGATAGACTTCATTTACTTCCCCTTTTTTATGCTAGCTAAGTTGTACAAGAAATGCACATGATCTATGTTATGCTAAACCGGCAGAATTTAATTTTTTAATGGGTCGCTATAATGACAATTTTAGTCCAGTAACTGACTGTTAAAACACGTTTGCAGGTTTGGAGGAACCTTCTAAGCCAACAGGACAAAATTGCCTCTTATGCAAGAGGGATCTCTCATTCACACCAGAAGGTCCAATACATCAGCCTGCTGTCTCACCGGCCGTTGCTGTTCTTCCCTGCGGACATGCATTTCACGACCACTGTTTACAAAAAATTACGCCTCAAGACCAATCAAAAAGTCCTCCTTGCATTCCTTGTGCCATTGGTGAAACTTGAAGTTTCTCATTTTTTTGCTTCGCCTTTTTGAGCAACTACCAGAAAACAAATCGATAAAAAATGTTCCCAAACTTTTGTGAAGGAACAAAGTAGAACTTTAAGTTACTAGCTGGAGTTAGGTATGATTCATGGAGACATAATCGAGCTTAGAATATATGTTAAAAATCCTTGTTTGCACCTTTACATATGTTTGCCAGCTGATTAAATTGAGTCTCGTTTCACTTCAAGAGATGGGACTTGTATGTTTGGTACAGTGCATTGTTAGTACTGAGAAAAAATATGTAATATTGCTTGCTGAACATGTAAAATCAATTCTCGTCCACATTTCAGTGCCATTTGCCATCATTTTCCTCGAACCCATCACTTGTTTATAGGCTTAACTTAAAATCCAAAATTTGCTAAAACACGTGGATGTGTCTTTTTCCTTCCCTTGTGAAACGAGCGGTCCCTGAGCAGTGAAAATAAATAATAATCCGCCGTCAACATGTGCATGATCTGGATCACAGAGCATCTGCATGTGCCCAAATTTCTCATCCACCCCATTCAATTAGCGTAAAAACAAAATAAGGGATTCATTCCCTATGACAATTCTAAGCATTTTAATTTTTACATACTTTCTCTCGACTGATACAATTAAATTGAACTTCATTGCCTAAAAATTTAAAATTGATTAAGCCCATTATTTGAAAAACTTCTTTAGTAAGCGAGACAAACTTCATATTTAAATGCACATTTTATCGCCTTTTTAACAGTACGTTTCATGTGACTCGCCATCTTATAATTTCAACGAACTTTATCGAATGAATATTTATTTAAATTGTCTTCAACATTTACAATAGTTTAACCTTCAAAATCAATCAACCTACCTGCTAAGGTTCATAAATCTAAGACCTTTCCAAAGTTATTACCGCATTTGACTTTTATAAGAGGACACCAACCATTGGTAGCTAAGACAGTGAACGTTTGGCTAATTAGCTTATAAGTGAAAAGCAAGTTTTAATTGTTGACGATTCTTTGCATCCTTGCATTCCTCGTTGATATATGGAATTTTAAACAAAAATGCATTCAGATTCTGACTTGTAATAGCAGTCTTCGTATGACAGCGTTGAGTCTCTGACTATTCCAACTTGTCAATTACCCAAAGAAATCACACATGGCCGTTATTCCTGTTATAATATTTTCCTACTGATAAAACTCTTTTTTGCGTTGTATTTCCTTCTAAGAAACTCCCCCAACCCACCCCACCCCACCTCACCTCGATTGGTTTTTTTTTTTTTTTTTCTTCAAAAAGGAAGACTACTATTTGAGGATTTTTTTTTTTGGCCAAATAACCTGGAGTATTGAGACAT